CTCTTCCGATCGTTGGCGAACTAATAAATGTGTATAATATCAATTGGAAAAATACTGCTCAGGAAGATCATAAATTAAACAACGAAATAACCGACAAACTTTCAATGAATTGGTTCCACATCTGTGGTGGTTTTACATCAGTTGTTACATTCATTTCAATTAGATCACGAATGCGTTTACTTCAGACTATACAAAAGCTATCTTTGCGATTGCCTCAGAAGTCATATCAAAATCTATCTAGACTGATCCATGCCAAGGACATTTTTGGATTCTTTTTTATAGTCGTGCAATATTGGGTATATTATATTTGTGTCCAGACTGATGTTATATACAATATTGTCACACTATACATCGCTTTGTTGGAGCTTCAACTAAATATGCTATACGTGAATTGTGTTTGCGTATTAAAAGCTTGTTTCAAACAAATCAACGACAGTCTGATGAATCTTCGAGAACTTATGACAAATGGTGAGCTATATCTTTTGAGGGAACCCTATCATGAACTGAAAAATCCGTCCCTACTGACGGAACTCAAGGCTTCAAAGCAGCAGCATCTGGGACTTAGCGACACAATACAGTTGATGGAAACGATCTTCAGTGTGCAACTCATTTTTACGATACTTATGACCTTCATTCAAATCACTCTCCATTTATACTTTTCGTTAGTGCAAGTAGTACAAGAAGCTGTGAATTTGAGCAATCTGGAAAAACAGTGCTATTCCGAGAGCTGCATAGCAGTTGTAACATATTACATTATAAAACTGTTGTTGATAATATGGGCTTGCCAAACCGCCAAAAATCAAGCTATGGAAATCAACACCACCGTTCTTGACGTGTTTAACAGCATCAGCAATAAGGAAATAAAATACGAGGTAAAGTAAGAATTTATAATTTCTTTCGCTTACGTTAATTGTAGGTATATTTTATAATTATGCCTTGCACTAATGAAATTTCTCATATATTAATTTGTCAGATGTATATATATATATATATATATATA